GTGTGCATGGGGCGGGGAGGGGTGGGGTGACCTGTGCAGGGGTGTGGGGGGGGGGTTGGCTGCTCTCTGTGCAGGGCTCTGTGTGTGCATGGGGGGGAGGGTTGACCTGTGCCAATGCAGGGGTGTGACCGGTGTCTGTGCAGGGGGGAGGGGGGTAGGCAGGCAGGGAATGACTGGTGTCTGTGCAGGGGCAGGCCTGGGCAGGCGGGGAGTGACCGGTGTCTGTGCAGGGGTGTGTGTGTTTGTGGGGGCGGGGAATCAGTTCTGGGTTAGGGTTCTGTCTGCTTCTGTTCAATATGTTCATCAATGATTTAGATAATGGCATAGAGAGTACACTTATAAAGTTTGTGAACGATACCAAGCTGGGAGGGGTTGCAAGTGCTTTGGAGGATAGGATTAAAATTCAAAATGATCTGGACAAACTGGAGAAATGGTCTAAAGTAAATAGGATGAAATTCAATACGGACAAATGCAAAGTACTCCACTTAGGAAGGAACAATCACTTGCACACATACAAACTAGGAAATGACTGCCTAGGAAGGAGTACTGCAGAAAGGGATCTGGGGGTCAGAGTGGATCACAAGCTAAATATGAGTCAACAATGTAACACTGTTGCAAAAAAAGCAAAGATCATTCCGGATGTATTAGCAGGAGTGTTGTAAGCAAGACTCAAGAAGTAATTCTTCTGCTCTACTCCACACTGATATGCCCTCAACTGGAGTATTGTGTCCAGTTCTGAGCACCACCTTTCAGGAAAGATGTGGACAAATTGGAGAAAATCCAGAGAGGAGCAACAAAAATGATTAAAGGTCTAAAAAACATGACTTATGAGGGAAAATTGAAAAAAATGGGTTTGTTTAGTCTGGAGATGAAAAGACTGAGGGGGGACATGCTACCGTTTTTCGAGTACATAAAAGCCTGTTACCAGGAGGAGGGAGGTAAATTGTTCTCTTTAACCTCTGAGGATAAAGACTCCATGGGCTTAAATTGCAGCAAGGGCAGTTTAGGTTGGACATTAGGAAAATCTTCCTGTCAGGGTGGTGAAGCACTGGAATAAATTGCCTAGGGAGGTTGTGGAATCTCCATCATTGGAGGTTTTTAAGAGCAGGTTAGACAAATACCTGTCAGGGATGGTAGATAATACTTAGTCCTGCCATGAGTGCAGGGGACTGGACTAGATGACCTCCCGAGGTCCCTTCCAGTTCTATGATTGGGGGAGTCGGGAGAGGGGCTGCTTTGCAATGGCAGCACCAGCTGGCGATTGCTCTTTGGCCAGTGGTAGCACCGACAGCCACTTGGAGATCAGGCCTTATGGCGCCGGGGCCTGCACAAGCACAGAACGAAGATGCTCCTTGTGTCAAGGAGTGGGGCGCTGTCCCAGTGGCAGGGGTCCCTGGGCGTGCTGTGGAGTGTGGGGGGTTTCCTCATTAGTGTGAGGCGCTTCCTCCCTAGGTCAAGTCCAGTGGGGTGATGCTGTCAAATGTTTCCAGCAGGAGCACACTCAGGGCTCTGTGGCTCAGAAGACCACAGAGCTGTTCCCTGTAGAGGTCTGTTGGCCAGGCTGTGAGCTGTGAGCTGCTTTGGGGCTCTTTTGGGAAGGCTGTGGTCTGTTTCCCCTCCAGGGTCTGAGTACGCATCTGCTCTGGAAAGCGCAGGAGTCTCTGCCAGCCCCTTGTGACCGAGGGGATCGCTGGCTCTCTGCCCCATGCAGTGGGGTCTCCAGTGGGGCCGTTGGCTCATGGGATATGGGCTGAGGTAACTGGCGCTTCCCGGGCTTGCTCCTTTGCACGGAGTTGGTGTTCACCACATAGGGTGGCATTAGCCAGGCCAGCTGTTTCCCCCCAGTCCCGTTCAGAGGCTCAGTCCTGGCGTTGCACAGAGCCAGTTTGGTTCAAGTCTGAAGCCGGCAGTGGGCTTTTATACCCCTGTGTTAGTGAGCGGCTGAGGGGCCACACTTGCACTGTGGCTGGGGGAGCCCGTGGGGTCGTCTCCCCTCCACTCTGATTGTTGTGTCTGAATTGACCCTCTTGTGTTTCCAGGGACATTTCCTGGCTGTCCCGTCCATGCCAGCCCCGAGTAGCAGATGAAAGCCGAGCTCAGCGGGTATTTATCTAGATCCCACCTGCTCTGTTCTCACTCAGCAGGGCCCCAATCCCAATACTGGATGGAGCGAGGGGAAGAGCTGCACGTCCCAGATCTCAGCAAAGGCGAGGACGATGAGAGCTGGCCGGGCCCCCAAACAGGTGAGGGATAAATAAGTCCAGCTGAGAGGGGTGGGGGCAGCGGCAGGGCCGGCGCAACCACTAGACGACCTAGGCGGTCACCTAGGGTGCCAGGATTTGTGGGGGTGGCATTTCGGGTCCCTTGGCGGCATTTTGACGGCGACGCTTTGGCCGCCATGGAATTCGGCGGCATTTTGGCGGTGGGATGATCTTCGGCCACCCCAGTCTTCGGCGGCATTTCAGCGGCAGCTTCTCGCGGAACCGCCCCTCTCCTGTCGTCTTCCATCCTTTTTTGCCGCCTGGGGCAGCAAAAAAGCTGACGCTGGTCCTGGGCAGCGGGGAGCCCCCACGTCCACCCCTGCAAGCCCTCCTGGCCCAGCTCCTCTCAGAGGTTGTCACCACCCTCTCCCTGATCTGTGTGCACCACTGCACCCATCCCACCACCTGCGCTAGGGCCCCCAGAACCATATGAGAGCCATGTCTTGGTTCTCACTGAAAAAGCAAATAATATTTCCAGCCCACACAGAGGCAAAGAAAGGCTTGTGAACCTGAGCTGGGTGGTGCTGACACCTGCCTGAGTCTGCAGCAGCCTGAAAAAGCTGCAAGAGGTGTGACCGCCTCCTTCAATCCCAGCTCGGAAACCGGCTCCAGGGAGGGGCGGGTCCACTTGAGTGGTGCCTCGGGCTCTGGCTGCCTTAGTTGGGGCCCTGTCCTAGCCGGCCTCCTGTGGGGACGGCTCATGCCTGATTGCCCATTTGTTCCTGCAGGTGAGAGGCTGGCGAGCATGGCTGGGGCAGAGGATGCTGCACCGGGAAGAGGTGGCACCAGCACCGATGTGGAGCTGGTGGGAGCGTGGCACAAAGACCCTGCTGTGGGGGCAGAGGAAGTTGTGTGAGGAGGCAGTGCCAGGGTGGAGGAGGCTGTACCAGGAGGTAGCGCTGATGCAGAGCCGGTGAGGCACAGAGGCGTCACCGTTAGGTGGCCCTTTAAATGCAGTGAGTGTGGGAAGAGCTTCCGGCAGAGTGCCACGCTGACAAGGCACCAGCTCCTCCATGCGAGCGAGAGGCCTTACATCTGCACCACCTGCAGCAAAGGCTTTTGCGACCATGCGGCGCCGGCCACGCACCAGCGGGCGCACAGAGGTGAGCATCCCTTCCCCTGCCTGGCATGCGGCAAGGCCTTTGCTGGCAGCTCAGCGCTGCTGGTGCATCAGCGAGTGCACACCGGTGAGCATCCCTACCGCTGTGGGGAGTGCGGGCAGAGCTTCCGGCAGAGTGCCCATCTGGCACGGCACCAGCAGGGCGCCCACGCCAGCCAGCGCCCCCACGCCTGCGCTCACTGCGGCAAGAGCTTTGGGCTGCGCTCCACGCTGGCACGGCACTTGCAGACACACAGTGTCAAACGCCCCCATGCCTGCCCTGACTGCCCCCGCCGCTTCCGCCAGCGAGCCCACCTGCTCCGGCACCAGCTAGCGCACACAGGTGAACGTCCCTTCCCCTGCCTGGTCTGTGGCAAAGCCTTTGCCCTGAGTGCCACATTGCTGCGGCACCAACTGGTGCACACGGGTGAGCGCCCCTACCGCTGTGGGGAGTACGGCAGCTATACACAGAGCTCCTACCTGCGCCAGCACCAGCGCAGTGCCCATGCTGGCCAGCGCCCCCACACCTGCCCTGACTGCGGCCGTGCCTTTGCTGACCGTGCCAACCTCCTGCGGCACCAGCGGGGCCATACAGGCGCCCGACCCCACACCTGTGCTGAGTATGGGTGGTGCTTTGCCCAGCTGGTACACCTACGGGAGCACGGGCGCACACATAGCAGGGAGCAGCCATTCTGCTGCAGCTGGTGTGGCCAAGCCTTTGGGCACCGCTCAGCCCTGGCTGCGTACCAGCGCGCACACAGTGGAGAGCGCCCCTACCCCTGTACCCAGTGTGGGTGCCACTTTGCCTAGCTTGCCAGTCTGGTGGAGCACCGCCGGCGGCACACGGGCAAGAAACCTCACGAGTGCTCCCACTGTGGGCGCCGCTTCCGCCACCGCTCAGCCCTGCTTCGCCACCAGCACTCCCATGCTGGGGAGCGCCCCTTCCGCTGCGGGCAGTGCAGTTGTGGCTACACCCGCAGCTCCAACCTCCTGCTGCACCAGCGGGTGCATGCTGCTGAGTGACATCCCAGCCCCCAGGACATCACCGGCATCCGGTGACTCCCACACCCCTCATGCTGGGATGGTCCTGGCCTGGCCCTGACCAGAGTCCACACTGTTGCATGGCCACTCCCCCACCCACTGCCCAGGAATGGGGGTGGCTGGGCCAGGCCTGCGTTGCCTGGCCAGGTACTGAGTGTGAGTGAAGCTGCTGCCACCAGTCATGGTTTCTCCAGCCCCAGGTAGCAAACATGGGGGCAGAGCTTCCTGCAGGGTGCAGCCCTGCTCAGAGGTGGGGCTCAGGGAATGGGGACTGTGCTCAGGCAGTGCCAGACCTTGTTTTTCTCCCATTTTGCTGGCTGGTGCTGCCTGGGCTGCTGCTCCAACACCATGGGCCCTGCCGTGTGGCCCAGCCAAGCCAAAACCCGCCCTACAGCTGCCCAGATGTGTGCGGGGCGGGGGAACAGAAGCAGGGGGATGCCAGTACTCAATGCAGGCTTGTGGGAAACGGGAGGGGCTGGGTGGAGGGATGGGGGCCTGGGCTGCGGGAGCAGCTTCTAATGAATTTTCTAAAATGTTTTGTTACAAAGTGAAAATAAACCTGTGAAATTCCCAGGGGCACTGTCGTGTCTGCAGTGGGCACGCACTGGGCCCCATGGCCTGACTGCACCAAGCTCCCCGGAGGGGAATGCCAGCTGGGCACAGGCACCCGGTGTTGCTATGGCTTCATTTGTGTCGCGGCATCCTGGCTCCATTTTGGAGAAATGTCTCTTTGGGGGTTTTTGTTGCCACCCCATTGTGTGTGAACCTGGGCAGTGCCACCTCCCTGGTCCGTGCCAGTCACTCTGAGAGGAGCCAGCTGCCTCCCTTATCTCAGCGGGGCATGACCCTTTGCACTGTCAGTAACGTTCACTTCCCAGCCTCTCAGCACCGCAGCTGCAGGTTTCTGTTCAGTGTGCAGTCCCAAAGCGTGCCCTCTCTTCCAGCCCAGTTTCTCCAGCCGCCAGGTGGGACGGGGCTAGGCTGGCTCTGGTCACAATCCTGCTGTGCTGCGAGACCAGCCTGCATGAGGACACCATTGTCAGCTGCCTCTGGAAATCACTAGCACGCTGTGGCCCTGAGCAGGCTCTGCATTTCCTCTGCCTGGAAGTGTCTAAAGCTGCTGCAGAATGGCCTGCAGCAGGCCTGGGTACTCAGGGCCTTGCTTATGGGCCCAGAGCTCCAGATCAGCTTGTTGCCAGCACAGAGTGCCTGAGGCAAAGCAACAGAGGGGTTCGTTGCCCGGTGTGCTTCGCGCCAATAAACACACCAGGGGGAGAAGCAAACAAAGTTTATTTGGGATCCCAAAGTGGTGCAAGGAGACAGGCACGTCTCAGATCAAGCACACTAACAGGAACAGTTTTTCTTCTTTTATACATTTTGCAGTTAAGCCTCACCCCCTCCCTTTCTCCCCCCCATTCCTCCCTCTAGCCCTCCCTTTCTCCCCCCCATTCCTCCCTCTACCCCTCCCGTCCCTGGTAATAGTTAAGTCATTCTTG